TAGCATAATGATTGGACGCGAAACGTTTTCATTTGTACATTACATGAATTTTGCGTTAGCGGGGAATTATTTAAGCTCTTTCGATTTAAATATCTTCGACATCGTTTATAGCGTCATTTAAAGCGGTATATTATTCATCGAACGACGGGTTCTGCGCTCGTTTTCGGTAATGGATATTTCGATCGAACTGGAAAGGATAAACGCGTTTAAATCGCGCCACATACACGCCGGCGAAAAAATTCACCGGAGACGCGGGTTAATAGTATTTCAGGAAATTTAACGACGCTCCGATTCCGCTCCAGCGTTTTTCCCCCCGTTACATTTTCCTTTTCCATTATTTCGCTGTAACGGTATTAACAATTGTTGCCGTCCAACGGGAATCGATAAGTGCATTTACGTAAATCTTCGATTTGTAAACCCCTACGTCCGTGAAAATGTTGCGCTGAAAGTAAACAAGCTCGCGAAGAAAAATTTGAAGATACTTTCTTGAAGGTAGACTCTGCGGAATATTTTTCAAACATTAGCCCCGCATCTCTCATCGCCACGTTACGCGAAAGAGTAAAGCACGGGCATTGTCAACTTTTTATTTTCGCCACGCTCGTTCTTTCTCTCCCTTTCGTTTTAATTATTTTATTTGTTTACCCGAGTGAATTTTTCAGACGCAACTTTCGTCCGTTTTTATACCCCGTAATGTGCCTCCTTTAATTATGAAAATTTCATTTCACCGGATGAATCCACCGGATAATGACCCTTCATTAGCGGGCCGAAGTCAAGTAAAACTTTCTAACGAAGATTTATCGCGATTTAGCGATCTGTCCGTTATATATGTCCCCTTAATTCCTATTTAATCTTCATGAAATTCCAGCTAAATCATTATTTTAACGGAACGATCGAAAGCGGGGAGTTATTTCGAAGAGTCGTTCTGAAAATAAACGCTGGAAGAATAGAAAACGAGAATGTTGACTCTCGACCCAATTAAGTATCGTTTAATAATAAACGTATCAAGCTTAAAGGCCATTCGGTTTAAATCGATGTGCTGGATGTAAATATTATTGTATTATTTATGCAACGACCTGCTTTTTTTAAAGTTTCTTCGTTTCCATAGATTGTCATATTAATTATAGCAATCTCGGTTTATGGAACAAGCAGTATTGCGTTTCGGGTATGAGTATTTACCGGATATATTAGAACGCATAACCTGGGCACACTGTAATGATACTGTGCACAAAATGAACCTGTAAGTGCTGCATTTAGGTAAACCAACCCCAGCCCACCTTTTAGCAACAATGAATGCCAGCGGCATGCTAATACGTCGAAATGGTTAGTTGCTTTGAGTTCATAGAATGTGGAATGGAATATTGCTTTAATGTAGCGAATAGAAACGATTTATACTAAACTCAAAATACATGGACAGGTCAATTTCAAGATACGTTCGAAATTAATTGCCTACAGCGTATTTCGTAGAGTTACATTCCTTAGATTTTGTATCATTACGTGATACGATATAAATTCATACCTATTTATATGAGAATTTATATGGGAGATCGTAATTTTCATCTTTACAATTTGTAAAATCGTATGAATTCCATGCTTCATTGCGTTCACAAAGGCAGACAAATTAATACTATTACATTGCTTATGTTTATTTGGCAGTGAATGTTTAAAAATTTTCCATTCATTAGCTTCGATAATTTAATAAATTCAAATTAATGTGGAAGTCCGTGAAATAAACAAGCAGCAGAATTTTCATCAAAAATTTATGTATTATGTGCAGTAAAATCTTCATGCGTTACACGCTCTACATTATCAAATAGATATACTGAATGAATTTAATTTAATTTTCGTATACGAATGAAGATAAAACAGGCGCAGTTCGAGTTTCTCATGTACCAGACAACGAACATTGTTTTTTGTCATTTCGTGAGTTACTTTGTTTGTCAAATTTTTTTTTTTTTATCATTCATCGACACGCTCGTGATGGACACGAACGACATACGTTGCGCGTAGAAGGCGCGGAATTTATTTATTACCGCCCGTGTATCGTGTGCATGTAAATTTGTGAAATGTTAAACATTTTATAACGAACCGACATACAAAAAATGATAAACTGTTTTTTTTTGTGCTACGACCAGCCATATAATTTTTTTACTTTATTTCGTACGTTTATTCGCGTGAATATTAATCGATTACGAATCAATTCGAGTTGAACAGTGTGCATTCCTCGTTGAAGAATTTTTTTAAATTGTAATTCATGATAACAATTTGCGGCAAATATTTTAAGATAATAGTAAACATTAGTACTATGTACAGCATTCAAAACACGGTGAATAAAATGTAAGTTTTCGGATTGCTTAATATTTGTTTAAAAATTGAAACATGGTAAAGCAAATTTGCCATTTACTCGTTCCACTGTTTGCAGGAGAAACGCTGACATTAAACTGAAAGGGAAAAATAGAAAAAAGAGCTATAATGCTCTGTACATGTTGCTTCGTGTCGAATTCTGGACACATTTAATATTCATATGCACTAGTGCTGCAGCTTTTTATACGCAACCGGTGTTCGAGGTTATGGCACGTATAAATAGACTCACGAGCACTTAGGTACACAATGCGGATTTTATGTACCGATTGTAGAAGTAAAAATAATATTTCGTGTCTGACGTATAAGCTATAACATTAACTTGTAAGGTCGTAACCGGTTCAACAGCAGAAGCACTAAATTAAGAAACATTATTTACGGTGCCACTGCAGTGTTTATTTTTCCTTTATGTGTGTGACTTCCATAAATTCTAACCGATGATAAGCAAGTGACGTCTAATGAAGATTCGATGGTATAGTGTTAACATAAATCATGGTTATAGAAATAAATATTTTTCTTCGGATGGTGAAAGAACCCATCCTGATAGGAAAATAAATGGGGGAAGTAAAATCGAATTGAATACTTTAATATTCCTGTTCGCTTTACGTTTTATATACAACTAGTCGATACTTTGCATCGTGTACGAAGTCGTAAAATACAGAAACTTTTATGTGACGATTTCATGAGATAATAACTTTCGCATAAAATATTAAACGTGATAAATATCGAAGATTCGATTGAGTATAAATCACCCTCTTTTCGTTGTTCGAAAGCAACATTAATATCGTTTTTTTTTTTTAAAACGCGATATACAGTTCATGATCATGTGTACGAAATAGTTATACGAATCTCGAATTGTTAAAACCGTATGTATGTCTGCGTTGCATACTGAAAATTCCGTCAACAGTAAGCAATCTCGTACAATAAAGATTACCAGTGTCACTTTACAATGTTCTATCACAGGAATACGTGACAACGTGAATATACATACATGGAATACATTATTGTCGTCACTCTTTTCTCATACTGTTGATGGACGCCCGTATGCTGCAAAAATACGCGCCCTGTATTCCACGATATACCTTTACACGAACCTATTGCATATTTTACAAATAACTTCAGAAAAAAAATGGCACTGGAAACTAACTGAAAATCGCCTGTCTGTTACCATTTGACGAACAAAACCCATGAGAATTAGAATAATAACAGTTATACAAACTTTGATCAATTTATTTTAAAATATTAAAATCACTCTCCTCTGAGTTTCGATCCTTCAGTCTCTAGAACAAAAGTTAACTGATCTCGCAACTATGATTATTATTTTTTTAAATTTTGACACTAACACGAGACTCTTTATTTTTCCTTAATTTTAGTTTTCTGAGACGATTGTAACTGTTACTCACCTCAGAGATCTGTGCAGCTAGTAATTTTTTACGAAGACGGTAACTTTTGGTTCGAGGACGGGATGAGCCGTGTCCGAAGACTTTAATCCGTCGGGAATCATGGCGCTGGCGTAATCCTCGATCCCCTGCCATATAATAGAAAATATAAATTCATTGTGTAGAATATTAAATGTCCGCGGCGCGACGGGGAACGTCGCGATGGAGATCGTGGTTCGAAATTACTATTCCAATTGCATCTTTCCCGGCGGCAACGCCCCGCCCAGGTGGAACGAGAAGGGTTAAGGCAGCTGGAAAGCTTAATTTGTCGGAGATAGTAAAATCCGTGGGTTTAATACATATTTATAAAGCGCATTAATGTAACCCAAAGAATATTCATGAAAATCTTTCGCGGCGCGTTGCGCCGTCTCGCGTTCGTACGTCCCACGTCGACGTTTTCAAGGAAACAGAAGTAATATACCCGGGGAAACTAAGGCCAGATGTTAGGCGCGTACCGATGCAGCTTGTAATCTTCCTTATTCCGGGGTTGCGATTTGCCGCATCGCGCGACGGAAAGTCGGTCGTCGCGTACCGAACTCCCTCGAAGCGATGGAAACTGGGTAAAGCGGGTCGACGCCGAGAGAAATGAAACATTGATACGTTCGCGGGAAATGAATACGTAATTACGCGAGGTACGCGAAGTTAACATCGACCGATTGCGTGGGTACGTTTCGTGGATAATAGTTGCTGGTAATATTAATAGGCTTTTAGAGAATTGCAGCGGAAATCGTGACGGATTTAAAAGCGCTCGAACGGAGCAGCTAATTTGCGAAAAAATTTCGAAATTTTTTCAACTCGCGTATCCTGCCTCCGCAAATGATTCGACATTTTGGGTTTGAAGTAATTCATGTTAAAATAATATAAAATAATTTCAAGAAAAGAGTTTTGAATTTTGCTTGCTCGTCTATCCGTGTTGCAAGTGCAAGCGTCTCTGGTTAAGGGTTAGAAACTACTTTGAATAATAAAAGTTTGTGTTCTCTAGGAGAGTATACTCCAAGCCGAGACAATTTGTGCTTATATCCGGTTGCGTATTAGTGTAAATAAAATTTTCCTCTCGGAAGTCAACGTCGCCAAACATAAATTCAAATTCAGTTTCCATTTTCATACTGTCCCTGATAAGGGAAAGATTTTTTTCTCAATTGCACGTAACGAATACTTAAAACAAATTTCGCTAATAATATATAGAATTTTATTCCCTTTTACATTTCATAGTATTCTTCGCAGCAATGTTTATCGTAGTGTTGTCGCTATCTGTCAAAAATTTGCATCCTTCATGAACATTTGCTCTGAAAAACAAGATGAAGATAAATATTATTAATGTGCTACCAATTGCAGATAGATAAGTTAACAGCGTGAAATAATTCTGATAGTACCTTACACATGTTACGGTATTTCATACTATGGCATTGACTCTTTTTTAGTGATTTGCATATCGGTAGCTCCTTTAAATCAATATTAAGTTAAAACATTATATATAAAAGATTTTATATTGAAAGGAAATTTTCAGTTTACCGCTGCCACTGGTATCACGAAAAATTCAGTCATCAGAATAACTGAAACGAGGAGTAGTAGAATGCTAAGTTTTTGATTCATGGTTCTCCGTATCGAATTCTCAGCGTGTTTACTGTGAACTATGCACTTGCACTCGTTCTTCCGCTTTTTATAGAGGAAAGGTATTGGAAGTTACGGCACGTACAGGTAAATATGCGAACGTTTAGATGTGTAATATGTTCCTTACGTGACGAATTTTAACGATAAGTACAGTTTTTCGTGACTGACCTATCACGTGTCCGTAGAAGGTATAAAGACTATCTCTATTTTTCTCCATTTGACAACTATTTTGTATGACGAAATATCCTAGTATCAAAATAAGAGATAACAATACTAGAAGAAGACTAATTTTGATTCGCTGTTTCTCGTAATAACTTCTCAGCGTGTGTATTGTAGACAAATACTGGTACTCGCTCTTTAGTTTTTTATACACGAAGGCTATTCGAAGTTATGGTATATCTAGACAGGTACGCGCGCATTTAGAAATTTATGTGTATTTTACGTGACAAGTTTTCACGTTTAAGTGCAGTTTTTCAGGACCAAGGTAGTACGAGTTTGTAAAAAGTAATAACTAGACTCCGGATGTTCATGCAAATGCATGTTTTCGTAGAAAACAGATAATAAAGTGGAAGTCACGCTGAAATTTGTTTCGTCGTTAGGATAAAACGTATATTTTACTCTGCATATTTTGTATAATATAGATGTTTTCATATTTCGGTTAATATTACGTGGTATATCTATCTCTGGTAAGATTAAGAAATTGCCTTCCATTGAGTATCCATTACATCCAGTGGCAAAAATTGATTGTTTCAAATTTTTAAAAATTCCATGTTTGTTGTAAATGATTAAACACGTGGTATGTATATCGATAAAGTACAGTATTTTATTTATTTCTGCTTACATTCAATGTTTATAATGCTTCCAATAATTATAATATCTGAATCGTATAGTCCACATGGCGATGCCGACAGCATTTGCCAGAAAATGAAATCGGTTTCACTCATTAGCATCTCCTCTGAGAAGTGAAATTGAAATAATAATAATAATAATTGCATGAATTGCATCTTTTTAAAGTAGAGTTAAATGGTAATAATAGCATACCCTGCACTGATTACGGAATTTCCCATTTGAACAAAGCCTAAATCTACATTTACCTGGTCCCTTAAAAAATTATACATTTATGGTTGTTAGTGCGAAAAATTTGAATATATAATTGAGAACTAGTTTATGCAAGCGTTTAACGTTTTCACATATATAAAGATTGTTTCTTTAAAGGTCGTGTCGCAAAGAATAAGTTAATAATTGCGTAGAAAATATATTTAATGTTTGCTTACCCCTTCCACTGGATTCACCATGAAGCCAGACATCAAAATAAAAGAAACAAAGAGAAGAAGAAGACTCCCTTTGAAATTCATGATTTCCCGTATCGAGTTTTCGGCGTGTTGGCTTGTATTTACACTTTCGGTTTTTATATGCAGAAGGTATACGAGGCTGCAGAACATTTAAAAATGTATTATGTATTTTTCGTGACAAATTGCACCTGGTAAGTACGATATTTCGTGACTAACGTGGTGCAAGTTTGTAAATGCTGAAAAGATTATAGATATTACAATGTATTTCTAAATCGTTCACAATTTTAACGATGTACTTCATTTGTGAAGGTTTTTTTCCATTACGTTCGAAGCGTTATTCTATTTGATTTCATTCGCCCAATTTATTCTGAACTCAATTGGTGTTTTACAGGGTTTTATAATAATTTAAAATAATTTCATATAATTTAATATAAACGGTCTTCTTTATTAATAAATGAAAATCTTTCTTCTATTTAGCACTGCGTGTTTTATTTAATTACTTAATTTATATACTGGCTGGTTTACCTGGCAAAAAATATAAATGTAGTATGATTTAATTAATAACGTTGAATTCCTAATATTAATACAATAACGAAAATGATGTATATCACGTGTGCATTTGTAACGTGAATTATGAATTTAAAGTGTTGTATTAATATTTTATTAAAATGTATTAGTCACGATACTGCACGGAGTAGCTTCATCATAGTGATCGAATAAATAAAATAGAATTTCATGTTTACCGCTTCAACAGGTATCGCGAAGCACCCCAGCACGAAAATTAGGGGAGGGAATACGGGAAGGAAAATAATACTTTGATTCATGTTTCCCCTTGTCGAATTTTGGATACGTTTTATATCAATATGTATATACAACATTCTGATTTTTTTATATGGAACCACCATTCGGATTTCTGCCGTGACAGATTGATTTATGAACAGTAGGGTATATAAGACGTATTTCTCGTATAAATTCTGACAGTTATATCAATTTTTCTGGACTGACGTGCTAAAAGCTTATCGCTTTATTAACAGACCAACCTTTTTCCTAAAGTTAAATGTACTATAGAATCTCGATTAACGTAGACGAATGATAGGTTTGTCGGATAATCGATTTCCCTGGATAAGTGACGATTACGTTATAATACAAGTATAATATTATACTTTATTAATAATAATATCAGATTAAGTATAATATGAACTATACGCGATAATTATTGATAATAAAATAAATTCTTCGTGATCCACGTATCGCGAATTTTTAAAGAAAAACTTCTGTTTACGTAATTTAAAAATATGTGCTTAATTTTCTGAATTTTCGATAATTACATGACGAACATCTTCGATCAACATAATCCGCTTATGAATAGCATTATTGGGAAAGCATTACTTCATAAATAATTTTAGTTGATTAATAATATACTTGTAGTGATATTTCGAGTAATTATTTTTACCAAAGGCTTTCGAATAAGTCGTATGAAAATTGTGAATAAATGAATAGAAAAAATAGGTGAATAGGTGAATAGAAAAAATAGTATATCGTTTATAATGCATCTTATCTTATTGTTTATTAACTTCCAATAATATCATAATAATGTAAATGTTTATAATCAAAGTATTCATCCTGATGATCTATGGTCCATTCCTCTGCTACGTTGGAATCAATTTGCTTTAGCCACACTGTTTCTATAACGAAAAAATATAATCATCATTTTTGTCCTACATTTAGACGTAATTTAATTGTTGGTAGCATTAAATAATTATTTTATTTTACCGGGCAGATCACCCGTGCGAGGGGGTGATTGCATCCCAACTTAGCACACGGTGGCTTCTAAGATAACATAAATTGCATGAGTTACGGAGTTACCATTAATTTTACAATTGTGAATAGTAAATGATTGTGCATACCCTTGCTTCAGCCGGTGTCATGAGAAATCCTGACATTAGAATGACGGAAGCGAGTAGAAGGAAGAAACCGACCGTTTGAGACATCATTTTTCGAGTTCCTCTTTGGCGTATTTACTAAGAATATGTACGTGAACAAAAAGTTGGCCTTTTTATATGCAACCGCTGCATGTAGTTATGACATTACAGAAATGGAAGGGATTGAAACTCGACACTTTGAATAATGTTGCTTCGTGTCGACTGCTTGGCGTGTCTATTATCAATACACTCTTCTACTTTTTATATAAAATGTCTGCTGCCGTATATTGTACTGTGAATACTTGCGTGACTATCTTAACAGTAAAATCAAGTTTTCGTTTTAAACGTGTTGCAAGCTTATGGGTTCATAAAATGAAAAACTTTGTATATTGGAAGTTTATAGTGGATATATTTTAAAAATTCTTTACGTACACTTGTTATTCGATAAAAGAATTACATATTTCTAATCTATTTAGAAGTTTGTGTAAAATCTGCATCAAATCCTTGACTCCTTGTGCCGTAGCAATTTATTTTCCTCTTCCACTCATCACTCTGCGACACATATTCTAATAGACAAAAAGAAAATGTTTGTTAGAATTTTACAGCACACAGCGCTTGGTATATGATAATATCTACATGCATTATGATTAAGAAATACAGATTATGGAGTTAATTAATTGTAATAATACCGGACAGACTTCTTCCATCAATGGAGAACCGCAAAGTTCTTTCGGAAATGTGCCGCATCTTGGTGAATCCTTGAATAATAAAGTGGTGCGGGAAATTAAAGAAAAATTTAATTTCACGTAGTACTAACGTAAATTTATTTCTTTGTAAAGAACGTAAAAATATTACCCTTCCTTCCGAGGGTGTCACAAAGTATCCAAACATGAAAATTAGAGAAAATAGAAAGAGAATCTTCACGTTGTGATTCATGATTTCTCGTATCGAATTCTTACTTAACATGCAGTTGTTCTCGCGCTATCACGTTTTATGTGAATCGCTATTCGAGGCCACGGTATGCATAAAATAGATATCTGGACACTGATAAGTATAGTATGAACTATACGCGATAATTATTGATAGTAAAATAAACTCTTCGTGATCCACGTATCGCGAATTTTTAAAGAAAAACATCAAAGTAAATATTAATGCAGAGTTTCCATTTATCATTTTATGTTCTGTTTACGTAACTGATTGTCGTATTTAAAATATGTGCTTAATCCTCTGAATTTTCGATAATTACATAACGAACATCCTCGATCAACATAATCCGCTTATGAATAGCATTATTGGGAAAGCCTTTCTTCATAAATAATGAGATTTAAATGCACTGTATAGCAGAATAACTGATTTTAGTTGATTAATAATATACTTGTAGCAATATCTTCAGTAATTATTTTTACCAAAGGCTTTCCAATAAGTCGTATGAAAATTGTAAATAAATGAACAGAAAAAATAGTATATCGTTTATAATGCATCTTATCCTATTGTTTATTAACTTGCAATAATATCATAATAATGTAAATGTTTATAATCAAAATATTCAGCCTGATGATCTATAGACCATTCCTCTGCTACGTTGGAATCAATTTGCTTTAGCCACACTGTTTCTATAACGAAAAAATATAATCATCATTTTTGTCCTACATTTAGACGTAATTTAATTGTTGGTAGCATTGAATAATTATTTTATTTTACCGGGCAGAACTTCTTTGCGAGGGCGTGACTGCATTTTAAATTAGGATGATCACACTGTTGCATATAAGATAACATAAATTGCATGGATTACGGAGTTACCATTAATTTTACAATTGTGAATAGCAAATGATTGTGCATACCCCTGCTTCAGCCGGTGTCACGAGAAATCCTGACATTAGAATGACGGAAGCGAGTAGAAGGAGGAAACCAACCGTATGAGACATCATTTTTCGTGTTCCTTTTTGGCGTATTTACGAACAATATGTACGTGAACAAACACTTGGCCTTTTTATATGCAACCGCTGCATGTAGTTGTTACATTAAAAAATTTAATGTGTATTTCGTGTCACGATTAAAGTTGTACACTCGTTAAATAAATATTACTTACAGCGCTTATTTTTATGAAAGGAAATATCTGTGGGTTTATTTGTCAGTGCAGTTTTTGTAGGATTAGTTCTCATTTATACAAGGGTTAATCGCATTGTTATAGTCATGTGCATGATAGGTGAATAGGGGAAGTAAAATAGTATTGAAATTGCATTATCTTTTATTCCATGGTGATTTCTAATAATATCATAATAACTTATAACCAAAGTGTTTAATCCTGATGCTGTTGTTGTGTAGCCCAATGTTTAACCAGAGTCAAATATCAATTTAGTTTAGGGACATTTGTGCTGCAAAGAAAAAACATAATTATCAGTTATATCTTACCTATAAAGATTCGGAAATGATATAGCTCAAATATATTAGGAGTTAATAGCAGTAAATAAGTATTTTATTTACCGGACACAACATTCGTATGAGGCCGTTCTTGCATCTTAGATTCGGCATATTGCACTGTTACATATTTAATATTTGTTATACATTTTTATAAGATAACATATTATGGAATTGCAATCGAAGTATGAGTGAATTTGTACTTACGTCGACAAGATTTCCGTAGGTTGGCATTATAACTCCTGACATTAAAATAATGGAAATCAAAAGAAAAAAGCTGACTGTTTGAGACATCATTTTTCAAGTTTCTATTTGCCTTTGCTTAATAACAATATATGCACTGACTTGCAATTATATATACAACCCACAGTGTATAGTTGTTAATGCTTAAAAATTTAATGTGGATGTTTTGTCACGTTTAATGTTGTGGAAAAAATTATTCGTGACTGACGTATTGTAATAAATGGTGGAAGTTTAAAGTATCATTTGTATAGTAGGAAACATTAAGATCTCAGATGGAAATTGAAAAAAAAGTAATTTACTCATAAAGCAGTATGTTTTATTTGCTACTAATATTCATTACATGAAACTAATTAGGATATTTGACATCAATCCTTCGTTCGGGATGTTGAATCCTCTGTTGTACGATTCCAGTATACTATTTTCCGTTACATAGATTCTATTAAACAGAAAGAAAGTAAACGGGATCGTTAAATGTGTTACAAATAAAATAATATAATAATTATGATCGTACCTTACACAATCCTCTAATTTTTGGTATATATCCTTGGGAAAAAATAAGTCACATAAATAGTAATAATACTGTACAGCAAAAATACCCAAAATTTTATTCGAATAATAAATAACCAACAAAACCAATGTATAGCAAATTTATTTGTGATGTTTGATGATCAAACTTAAATTAAGATTTCGTTCTTACTGCTTCAGCAGGCGCCACGAAGTACCCAGATACCAAAATAAGTGATACGAGTACGAAGAGGATCTTAATGCCACGAATCATGATTTCTTGTTTGAAATTCTGGATACGTTTAATATTAATATCGCTTCAGAATCGTTCCTTATATTTAACCATCATTGGGAATTTTGTCACGACAGATTGATTTATGAACAGTAAAAAATGTGAAAGCATTTCACTGTAAAATTGTCTTCTCTTGACAAGTTTATCAGTTTATGGAGTAATCGACTTTTTACGTAAAGTTGGATAGTTGGATATTGAATATTGTCATACTTTTGTTTCTTTATTGTTTAGTTTATTGCACATTTAATGAACAGCCGCGTGACGATCCTTAGCAATAAAATCAATTTTTCGTGACTAACGTGTCGCAAGCTTATCAATTCAAAGGGTAATAAATTTTACGCGTGAAAGCAATAAATATTACTTCATGCGCAATATTGCAAAATTTATTATGATATTCTTTGCTGCCTGAGCTATAATTTGTCCTCTGAAAAAATGAACAAATTGATTAATTATAATTAATACTAAACCTACCATGACCGGTCGTCTGACCAGTAAAACAATTTATTATTTTTTTTTGTACAAAACCGGATAGAATTTGGTATCGAATTCTGTTCAGCTTCCGATGTAAATAGGAAATATATAGCAAAGATGAAAGGAGAGAAACCTCTTCTGTCTTAGAACAGTTTAACAACGCGTATTAAAAATAGTTAAACTTTACACACGTGCAGTTCCGAAACTACTAGTGCTTTATTAATTATTGAACCGCCGTTGGCAGCGGTGAAGCCTCCTCTTTAAAATGGCTTTTGAATTTTGTCGATCGGACTTTCCGTTTTCGAGATATCGCAATTTATGTAAAAGGTAATTTTTTTAATTCGACTAGGATCTCGATCAGCGCCTCAGAAAGGCCTATTAACGCGTATTAAAAATCATAAAACTTTGGATGCGTGCAGTTCTGAAACTATTAGTGATTTATTAATTATTGAGGTATCGTTAGCAGCGGCAAGGCTTCCCCTTTAAAGTGGTTTTTGGTTTTTGTCGATCGGACTTTCCGTTTTCGAGATATCGTAATTTATGTAAAAGGTAATTTTTTTAATTCGACTATCGCTGTCTCCGTCTAACGCGTCGCGTTGGACCTCCTTGTCGCACGTTGACCCACTGACCGAGTGACTGAGTTACGTCACGTTTACTATTTACTACGGTCACGTGCCGGTCAACGACCTTGCAAGGCCGTAGTAAGAAAGTTCATTGATCTCGCGACGTAAACAAACGCTTCGGTCTCATCCGATCGACTTGAAACTAAAATCGCTATATCTCCGGAACTAATAAAGCTATCGACTCGTATAAACGCTCGTTTTAAAGGGCATTTCATCCTCTACCTAATGACCATATCACATACTGTAATTTTTGCTATCTTCTATGTTTATTTTCACATTTACTTGGACCCTATGCACCCAATGAAGTTTCAACAATTCCTATTGACCATACGACTAGTACGCGATAAAACTGGATTATAAATTGGTCATTTGACTGGTCTTGGTAGGAATGGGTATACATAAAGTGTCGATAGGTGAAGTTTTTATATTCGTTGGACAAATCCTTGGATTACAGGATAACACCAGGATATTTTTAAACTTCTCTGTTTTATACACGAGGGTTTATCAGTTTGGATGTTGGACGTTTCGTGAATGTTGGTTTTAAGTTTCGACTCGTGTAGTTTGTTCTGGCTCGTTCGTGCACCCTTTGACAAATTACCACTTAAGTACCTAAGCTGTTTTCTGTCTCGTAAAACAAGAAAGAACACTTCAAGTTTCGATGAGCTTACACGTTGCCACGTCACGCCGTCTTGCTAAAAACACGTCGATGTAAATGCCGTGGCTCGTAAAATAAACTTTGCCCGTTTTCTTGTTCTGTTCTTACATACCAGAGAGGGACAACCTTTCCTCCAAATAATAGATAATCGATAAGAACAACCTATAGCAATTTATTTGCACCGTTTACTGGAACAGTCAAGTTTTTATCCGGTCGTCGCGAAACATTTTATTCTATACAATTAATCTTGCATTCGGAATTTTTTCGCACGATATTAATAGCAAATCGTTATAATCCCCCGTATAATCTAGTAATTCTATAGCATTATTTCAAATCAAAGCGATTCAGATACACGAGTACCGTCATTACGCACGAAAGTTAATTTTATTCTCGTGCGAAGAGTACAACCAGCAACCAATTTTCCCAACAAAGTGTATTGTATATTAATTAACTTACTAATTAACTGTTGTACAATTCGCAATGGATATGTTTACGATAAAGTGATGGTATAAAGTTTATTTGTAAACGATTACAATGGCCCAATGAACGAATCCTCCGCAATTCCGATTTCATTGTCCATCGACGATTATAATTAACCAACGAGACGGAAAAATGGCAAGAATAATAAACCCCCGAACAACGTGTCGTTTCCATAACCCTCCATTAAGTTGTAAAATATACACAGAAACCGATGGTACGAATTGAAACGTCAAAATTATTCGTACAATCTGAAATCGAGAGAGTCTTCACAATTTTGCAATCTCAGCCTCGAATTTCCGAAATTTAAATTTATTCCAGAGACTAGTATCGTAAAACAATTAAGTGACTTTTGTCGGCCAGCGTATGTTAGAAAAGTGCCTAGTTTATTTCCGGTTTGCGCAAACGTTTCGCCATCTGGTCGAGCCGAGACAGCTGTTTCGCGACAATCGCCCGATCGATCGGTATAGCAATCGGGGAACACGTGTTTACATACACGCAAACGCGCGACCGTATCGCGAAGTATATAAACGGAACGTAGCATTGTTTCCTCGTTGAAGTAACAAGAGTCACGCGGAAGTGGCGGCCTGGATCATTTCGCGAATATACGAGTTTCGCAACACCCCCGCGAATGGCGGGAGCCGGTCTTGTTGGGAAAGTTTGAACGGCAGTAAGCCCTCCTCTGTTCTCCCAGTCTTTCTCCCCGCTGGCTGGAACACGCCCGGAGACGGTGTACCTAAGAAAATCCTTAGCCAAGGTATCGCAAAGTTATCACAAGACAATGGAGAGCAGATCAGGTAACTTAGCGACTAGCACAAAATCGAACTGGAGAGCCGCATCTGCCAGCGCAGATAAACTTATCCCCTTACGCGTTCCTTTATTTTCTTAACTCCTCCTCATTTTCCTCCCGTGTTCCCCCTCTCTCCTCGCGATTCCTTCCGTTTTCTTCCATTTTCTTTCCTTTTTTTTTTTATCTGCTTCCTTCGTTCGCCGTAAGATACTTTCCATTTCCATCGACGTTCTCGTTCGGACGAATAAGTGGATACCTGTTTCAAAGAGAATCCTGATCTCCCGACTGATTCTAACAAAATGCGCTGAGATCTGATATTTCCCCCCTGCCCCCACCCCGAAGAGACTTCTTTTGAAGAGGGGAATCGTATATTAAGGGGAAATGAAAAGTTCGAACGGTGGATCCGTCGATTTCGATGGGAAACTTTCGGCCAACTTCGAGTCGCCCGGGGATTTTTTATTCGATCGTGAGACAATTTTT